TCTTTGCCCTTGAGGGACTCTCAAGAGAGAAGGTGAGACAGATGCACGAGTGAATTGTTGAAACAGAGCTTTATAAATGCGTGACTTTAGGTATGGGCAGATGTATCTCAGGACACTGAGAAGCAAAGGACAACGATTCCCTGGGAAAGTCAGAGGAAATGCACCAAGGAGGAACACCTGAGGGGAATCCTGGCAGATGAGCTTCCACCTCAGGGAGAGAAGGCAGCAAAGGTGTCGTAGGAGAGGGCGAACTTGCCCAAAGGCAGGAGAAGAGAAGGAAGGACCTGGGGTATCCAGAAGCGGGTGAGTTTAGCGATGGAAATGCAGAGAAAAATTAGTGACGTGGGAATGGTGGTGCTGAGACGAGAAGATAAATTAGAAAATAAATAAAAGAGCTGATAGCTACCATGATAAAGAATTTAGCTACTATCCTGAAAGTCAGGGTTTCCCAAAGCTTAGTTGTTTAAGTGTTATTTCCACAACCTCTCTTATTTTTGTTTGACCTGTAAACCACTTGTACTATTATTTTTAACTTATTTTTCTAAAACCATTTACTTTTAAGCATATTTGTTTTTGGAAGAAACTTTATGTCAGTGTTGTAAGTAAAAAATCAATGTCACTTGCAGTAAATTCAAGGACATCATTAAAATGAATGTGATGAAAATAAAGCATTTCTGCTAACTCTTTGCTTATGAAAGTCTCTGAGCTAAAGACCCACAGTTTCATTATTCTGAAGGGAGTTTGTAAGTTTGGGAGAATAGTTAAAGTCACTGTAGCACCAAACTGAGAGTCCTTAAATTAATTAAGAAGAAGAAAGAGTTGAAAGGTATATAGCTTGCTTACTCTCTGAGTCAGGGGGATTTATGGTTCCTGTGCACCACCTTAGATACTGCAGGGGTATGTGTCCCACATAGGGGGAAATATTGTTTTAGGCAGTACAAGGCCTCTTTAAGGTTTTTGAACTAAGAAGTGACAAAATCAGACTTATCTGAAGAGGGGATGACTCAGGATCAAAAGGGAAACCAAAGAAGAAAAGAAACCCTGCAGGGGCTGTGGAAGGGTCTAGTCAGTATAATAAGATGAATAGAGGGACCAGATTAAAGAAGGATTTAGGATCAGGCTACGTAGGAGTTGGTACCTAAGGGATGAGGGACAGGGATGCCTTGGAGATGGATTGCTTGGGAGGCTGCATACATGGTCATGTGATTCAGGCCAGGTATATGAGGAATACGTTTAAGGAAGACAGAGTAGAGTGTGTGTGCACATATGCGTGTGTGTGTGTGTTTTGGATGAGGAGGGGGAAGGCAAGAAGCAGGTGATGGTAGGGGTGATAAGACCCCTCGATCAGAACATGCTACCTGTTACACATAACGTGCACATCCCAGGCTCACATTAAATGCTTGTTGAATAAATGGTGACCTGTGGATGGTCAGCAGGCAACTGGAAATACCCTGCTGGAGATCAGAGACATTCCAAATGCCAGTTAGATTGGAAGAGGGAACTGTGGTCTACCAATCAGCCTCGAATGCATTGCCATTTGCCTACTGACCATTTTAGAAACTTTGTGCCATAATCAGGTAGACAGGTTTAAGGTATATTGGGCCTGTTTATGTTCATAAGATGTTAAAAATGAATCCACTCACCCAAAAAAGTCACTGAGAACCTACTCATGTAAAGCAATTTGCTGGGTGCTTTGAGGGATAGAGAGGTAAATTAGACACAGACTCTTCTCACAGAGCTTGTCAAGATCTCATAAAATAATCGATAAAATTTTCTGGGATTTAAAGTTTAACATGTGAAGTATTTATTCATGATTTCCAGGAAACAACTTTAGCCTCAGAATCTTCCTATAAGCCCTAGTTAGTCTGATCTTTGTTTCCATGCATTATAAGAAGTGTTTCATGGGGTCGGGGTAGAACAACAGTATAAGTGGAATTTTTGGTAGACTTACAGAATCGGAAGTGAAAATCTTGCCTGTCATTAAGGACCCTTTTACTTGTGTTGTACTTAAAATACCCATTTTCCCAGCTTAGGAGAAATAAACTAATTGCGTTTTATCATATATATATATATATATATATATATATATATATATATATATATATAAAATTGTCCTTCTCCTCAGACAGGTATATGATATAGTAATAAATTAGAACATTCTCACAAAAAACTGTTATCTAATCCACTTTTCATAACTGGGATTTTTTTCCAGGTAGTCAAGACACAGACTGGAAAGCACAGATTTCCCTCTCAGCCTAAAAAAGAGTGATAGGTTTGAATAAGGAGGACAACAAGCCTAATGTTGATGCCCCTTCTTCAGTTTCTAGGCTCTTCTGTGGAAAGAAGTGTTTTCATAAGACTCAGACAGAATTCATTTCCATAGAGCATTCTTAATGGCTCCTGTCAGAACAAAACAGCTGGGAAACATATGGTATCCATTTCCCTGTATCACTTGGAAAAAATTTCACATGTAAATAAAGCCAACATAAAAGAGTAGCCCTTTGAACCCACGACCTTATACGATACATAAATATATTGGTACAATGCTCTCGTTGTATTGGCCCACTAAGTTATGTGGCTTTAAATTTTTTTATTGCATTCTGAGATGCACATTATCAAGAAGTTTTCAAAAAATGAAGGTAATTGGAAAATACCAGCAAATACTATCCCTAATAATATATATGTATCTCAGAAATGTTAAGAAATATATATATTTTTTTCCTACTCTATTTTAAGGTTTTCAGAAAATTGATGGATAAAATTTAAGGCATATTTACATTTATAAACTCTGTGTCCACTATTTTTCTGTTGGTTTAAATAAGTAAGTAACCATATATTCTTGAAAGGAAGAGAGAAAGACTTGGCAAAAATTTCTGGCAGGCCTTAATGTTTTTTAGCTTTACATTTTGAGGGAGAAAGGGACATATAAAGGATAGAAAGACTTTTAAATTTATAATGGAACAACAGGAATTAGTGTTTGCCTTTGCCTATTTACATTTCATAAATAACTAGAAAATCTAGCTCTCATTGGTGATTACCACTCCTCTGAGTTTATTAACAGGACTTTTGTCCCCTGTGAAATTAAGCCGTAAATCCCTGAGAAGGATACTCTTTGGGCATTTAAAAAGAAATGTAATGCGTTGGACAAAGTGAGATTCAAATTCAAATACTAGCACTTGTTAATTGTCTGCTCTGTGCCAAGTACTGTATACAACTGAGAACCAGAGCCAGCAGAAGGCAAGAGAAGCAGCAGCTTAAGAGCATCTAGACACCTTCCTTCCCTTCTGGAACATTCTCTGTTAATACCTGTTTCTTACTGGACAGAATCCAGGCCTCCCTCCACAGCTCACAGTATTCTCTTAGATTCCCAAAAGCCCTCAGAGAAGGACCGCTTCGTGCAGACCCTCTGAAACCACAAGCAAAATTGTGGTCCATTTGGAGTAAAGAACTCACCCACCAATAAATAGGTACATAGCATCTAGGCTTAGAACACTCACTCTCACCTCCTTATTTTGGTTCCAGAACTTGTATGAATCCTTTTGGAACACATAGCAGTAGGATGAAGAATGACCAAGGGTCTAAATTTGGGGAACGTTTCATAATTTATATCCTGCTTTCACCCCAAGAATCAATGGTAGCCAGGGACTGTTGCAGAAGTTACAGACCTGAGTACACCCTCGTCTTAGCTCCTTTACTTTTTGGTTGTGCTCCATAGCAAAGAACAGACGCAAACACATGCTTTGGGGTTAAATACTTCCCACCTGCTGTTGTTGCAGAAGAGGAGAGAGCAATGGGAGATGCCTAGTTAGAGGGCATGTCCTGAAACCTCACCCCTTTGATGGGGGATGGTGTAACCTCAGTGAGAAGGGAGTAGGAATCTGTAAACTGGTGGGCTGCAAGCTACCAAGAGTGTGGGGTCATCTTCGCAGTCAATGGAGTGCCCCAGAGAGGAGGTGGTGTCATCGAGGCTGAGGGAGGAAGGGGCAGCCGGTCACATGAGGCCGCTGCACTGCAGGAGGAGGTGGTGCTTACCTTTCACCTCCCGTTACACTCCGTCTCAGCCAGGCACTCGGACGCAGACTATACAGTCTTCATCTAAACTTTGCAAGAAATGAGAAGAAAAACAAATAGTCTGCCTACTTCACCCTCCCTTTGCACCTTCCTTCTCCTCTTTCCAAATGACCGAGGGCAGCAGTGACTCTTAAAGAGCACGTTCCCGTGTGAAGCTAGTGCATTATGTTGCTGTGTCATATGCCAGAAAGTACTGTCAAATGCCCGTGAGTGATGGTTGACTGGAATACTCAGCCTGTGGTGGGATGTACTCAACCACGGCTTATCTCCCATGGTCCAGTCAGTCCTGACCACTTCATTCCTTCCTGTTCTTTCCCTAATCCACCTAACAAATCACCTAGGGAATCACCCAATAGGTATCAGTTTAAGTTTGCCCAGTATTAAACCATTTATCCCTTCTTTCTCTGAGACGTCGTCGTAAGCTTTCAGAGTATACCCGTGCACGTGTGCACATATGCACGTACATCCCTTCTCTCCCTGGATTAGTTTGGAAGTTCGTTTAACACAAAGGATCCTATCCTCCAATTCTCTTTTTCAGGGTGATGGCAAGTATCAAAATACTATCAAGGAGGTGCCACCACCCAGGGAATAAACCTGAGTATCTGTCTGGGTTTGTTTTCTTTAGCTGTCTGCCTTCACTATTATTACTACTTGAATTAATTTTGAGCCAATATGTCATAAGTTTCTTTTATCATTGACTGCTTTTCAATGGTAAGTATGAACCGTTTGTTTTATGATATGCGTTCTCTCTTAATTCATCCCCTTTGAGCTTCGTCCTTAATTTGTCCGGGGCTTCCTTTGAGCATTACTTGAGTGGACCATGTCTGCCTGCATGGCCACGCTATTTTCAGTGTTTCAGATAGTCCCCTATTTTAATTTATTTTAAAAGAGTTTTTAATAGTCCCCTCTTTTAATTTATTTTAAAACAGTTTCTAGCTCTAGCTGGAATTGCAGTGTCTCAACTCTTATTACAAACACACAGAAGCCCACGGGAATCGCCGATGTATACAGTAAGTTCCGCCCAGTGAAGCGAGTGTCCCCACTGAAACATCAGCCAGAGACTCTGGAGAACAATGAAAGCGATGACCAAAAGAACCAGAAGGCAGAGTACCAGAAAGGGGGTGATTCTGACCCAGGCCCCCAACCTGAGGAGCTCAGCCCCAGAGATGGAGAGAGCAGCCCTCAAAGTAAGAGCACGGAGCCCAGCCCCTTGCTGGGCGAACTGGAGCATTATGACCTCGACATGGATGAGATTCTGGATGTGCCTTACATTAAATCCAGTCAACAGCTTGCCTCTTTTGCCAAGGTGACTTCAGAAAAAAGAATTTTGGGTTTATGCACAAGCATCAATGGCCTTTCTAGCAAAGCCTGTTCTACAGGAAATGCTGAGAACTCACTGTCCAACATGACACCATTTTGTGTTCTCTCTCCTGTGAAAAGCCCTCACTTGAGAAAAACATCCTCTGTCGTCCGTGACCAGCAGAAGCTCTCCACTGAAGAATCCGAGAGTTCTCCTCCTCTGGTTAAATGTGGCTCTGCATATGAGCCTGAAAACCAGAGTAAGGACTTCCCAAATAAGACCTTTAGTGAGCCTCATGGTCGGAAAGTTGACAAGGCAATGCCAGACTGCCAGCTCAGGGCCTTCCATCTGCAGTCCTCAGCACCAGACCCCAAACTAGAGGAGCAGATCGGTGGCATGAACTGGACCAGCTCCCAAGGCCCAGAAGAAAGGAGTGAGTACCTGAAAAAAGTAAAAAGCATCCTGAACATCGTTAAAGAAGGGCAAATATCTCTCCTGGTAAGTATGAATTAATTCCGTATACATACTAACAATCTAGAGACTCCAGTTTTATCAGCTCCATTCATTAGTTAACAGAATGATGATGCTTCTGTTCTAATTTTTGTTCAATCTCTACTTGTGGCTTTGGTTGGGAGATGTGACTTTTGAGTTTTAAAATTATAAGTTAGGTGGTTAGCACAAGGAAAAACAATTGGCTATTGAGGGGAGTGTTATTTCACTTGAACTTTGCCTGAATTCAACTGGAATAAGGACACAGAGTCTAAAACAAAAACAAAACGAAGAAAGCCCAGCACTTTCTTTAATATGAATCTTAACGTCTTTCTTTTTTGCTTTTCAAATGGTTCCCAACGCTCTCACTCAGTTATTTGTGGGGATGTCAGTTCCTTGCTGATGGGGGACCTGCCAGAGACATGAACAGAGGGTCTTCTGTTTTATCCTGATCATTATTCAGAAGACTTGGACCAGGATGTTTGAAAGCATTTGCAGATAGAAACTTACCCTAGAGCTTGACTGCCCTCTGACCCACATGGAGTTTTTTTTAGTTCCAGGTCTGCATGTCTAGGGAGAATGAAGAAGCTTTTCCAAAGACTCTAGACACAGAGTTATATGATGTAAGAAAAGTCTGTTCTGCTTAGGCTCAGAGAAAACTAAACTGCAGTCACATTCCATCTGCCTACGTTGTTCTTTCCTGGCTTCCAAACTTGGGTCAAACAGTAGTAAGCCTGAGCTGACACTGTGGTGTTAATTAAAGTCTCATTCAAGAAAATCATCACATCTTGGCAGTGTGATTCTACTTAGGGTAGAGCCGTGAGTAGATAAGTATAATGCGCTTGGTCTGTTATCACACATCTTAGTGTTATAATAGGATGATATGATTGAACAATTTTACAAAGTAAGGTAATATGTTTTTCATCTCCTGAAGATGTCTTTTCCATTTCTCCTGGCTCTTCCTCTCTATTTCTCCTTGGTTCATTCCTTTCTTTTGTCTTTCCCGTGTTTTTATGTTTCCCAAGTGATAAGACCTCTCAGTTTTACCCAGTCTTTATCAACGAGTTTATACTCAGGGGACTGAACTTCACTAGAGGTGAGGGAACCAAAGGCCAGGTAGCCTCCAGATGCCCCAGGAGTTTGTTTAGGGATGAAAGTGTCTAGAGGTACCCGTGGGAGCATTGTCTGCAGCACTCATCACGTAGCTTGCCGTCAAAGCCAGCTCTCCATAGTTCAAGGCAATGCAGATGGTTAAGACAGGTAGTTCATTCATTTAACGAACCTACAACAGGGAATAAAACACAGCCTGGCCCTCAGAACTTAGCAGGAGTAGAGGAGACAGACAGGGAAGCTGCCAGTTACTGTTAAGTGTCATCGCAGTTGTTAGAAAGCCAGCTTGGAACTGCTACAGACTTGCTGACTCCTGTCTGTCACATGTCTCCCATGAAGATAAGGCACTTGAGCATTCATGTTCTAAAGTGCAGTATAACAAAAATGTCATTGAAAATCATTAGAATTAATTGCAAGGAGTTCTGACTTATTAGATCCCCATGGCTGCCACCAGAGCTTCTGGAAGCTCATCTCTTCTTCCCAGTGCCCAGAGCAAAACCTCCATAGCATCTCCTTGTGATTTATTGACTTAAGTTTTCTCCTCTCACTCTGTGTTCAGCCACACCTAGCCGCCGACAATCTAGACAAAATTCATGATGAAAGCGGAAACAATCTCTTACACGTTGCCGCAGCGCAGGGACATGCAGAATGTCTGCAGCATCTCACGTCTTTGATGGGAGAAGATTGCCTCAACGAGCGAAATGTGGAGAAGCTGACTCCAGCGGGCCTGGCCATCAAGGTGACTGGTTGGGGGCCGGGCCCTCCACAGCTAAAAGTTGGGTTTCTATCTTTGAAGATTCCTAGGAAGTTTCAGTGTTAGAATGGTGGGAGAGAAGAGTGATATACCAAGCAAACAGCAAATGAACCTGTTGTGTTTAAAAGGTTAATCATTTCAGTCACTAGCTGCTTTGGGATTTTGAGACTATATTCCAATTCAGGGTAAGCTTCAAATCACTAATAAAGAGAAAGGAAAATGATCTGTTGCCATTCTGAGAATTTTTGTTACTCTTAACCACCCCTGGATCTGTGTGAGGCTGTTTCATTTTTTCCTAATGTGAGTATAATGATCAAGACAAATGAGGAAAAGGTGTATTATAAGGGATGCTAGCACTCAGAAGTATTTCAGACAATAAAGTGGACTTCTAATGGATTACATCTCAAGTTTAAACGTCTGCAGTGTCAGGAGTTGTTTAGAATATCAGTGCCGAGTTTGCGTTTGGCTCTTGCAGAGTACAGTATGTTATCTGTCAAAAACTCCACAAATTAATGCCGACTGGGATAGAGTTAAAACCTAGAAACTGTGGTACAGGAAAACATGGTCTTTTATAGCACTGCAGTGAGTGCCTCTGTAAAATATAACACATCACTAGAAGGTTAACTATTAAACTAAAATTACTTTTAAGATCTTTGGTAAATAAATGTGGAATTCAGTCACGTTTATTAATAAGCCAGAAGTGAAGTTTAGGGAAATATAATACATCTTGTGCTTCTGCATATGTACTTTACTTTACTTAATAGTTACGTCTTCTAAAAGCTGAATAATCATAATTTTTATAAATGGAATTATACTGAAATTTACTAGGGGAACTTGCTAGTTAAAGAAGTCTACTTGTGAATTCACTGAAGAACGTGTTATATTTGAAAAACAAGCAGTTTCCTTCCCCAGTATACCTCTTATGCAGATCTGAATTTTTGTGTCTTCCATTTATTTATCATTCAGCAAAGATTAAAAAGTTGTTTTCTGTTTTATTTAATGTTACTCAGTGATTAGCTTTTTTGATCAAATAAGAAATCCATGACCCCAGTGAATATCATTTTCCTTTAGTTGTAAATGATGCTATGTCAGATTAAGAGCTGAACTGCAGGCAGCTATCAAGAAGAAAGAGAAATGAAATGTGAAGTCAAAGTCAAGCATAGTGGAGTTCAGCAGTGTGTACGAGTCCACCAGGTACTGTGTTAAGCTGCTGGCAAAACAAATTTAAATGAGACATAGTCCCTTTTCTTAAGGAACTGATAGCCTGGTGGATAAGGCAGGTAAATTATCAGTAATACAAGTGCAGGATGGCGAATTCAGGATCTAGTCCCATGTCGGAATCCTGTAGGAAGGCAGGAGTTGGGTTTGGTAATCAGTGGGCATGTGTCAGTTATGACTAAAATATTCTTGCAATGCCAGTGATTGTTGACATTCGCCTTGCCGTTTTAGTATTTATAAAATACAGTTCTCATTAGTTTTCCTGATTAATGGTGCATTTTGAATGTATTCTAACTACATACATAGTTGGATGAAATTTTTTTGTTAATTTATATGCCCGAGTCCTTGTTCTGATAGGGTAAGGATCTTCAGGGTAGGAAGATACATAAGAAATTTAGTGGTCATTAAGCCAACCCTGGGTAAACTCCTTCTATGGTATCCCTATTAAGTGTTAATTCATTCTTAAACTGCTCCAGTCAACATAGGATCCCCATCATACAATCAGCATGCAAACTTAAACAATAAAATTTTTTTTGCTTCAATGAAGCCCACAGGACTCAAAAGCTCTTATAGTTTTGCAGTCTCAGGCTTTTCATACTTTACTTCTGGACAATGATCTGAGAACTGGAAGTATTCTTTTACTCCTTTGTTTAATCTAGAATTTACAAAAGCAGTAAATACAAATATTTTATAATATATGCCACCCTCTTTGGCCGTCTGTCCTGACACATGTCCTGCCTCAGTCCATTAGTGTATTGTGATGGACATTGATGAAATTGAGGGAGTGCTAAGAAGTCATCATTCTTCCATTTTAGGACCTTGTGTTGAACACTAGTAACTAACTGGTGGTATTTCACCTCCTTAAGCACAGTTCTGAGAACCCTGCTGTCATTAAAGAAAACAAACTGGGTACAAATGGGCAGAAGTTGCTCAGATAATATGTGTTGGCTGACAGGAAGCAGAGTCAGAGACAAGGTATCAAATAAAAAGATTACATTAGAAAAGGGGCTCTGAAGTCATACCAAGGCTTAAGAACATCTCCCCACACTGTTAAACTCCTTAAATATGGAACATCATAAGTTCTTGCCAGCTACATGCAGACTTTATTGAGTGCTTTCTGGGGACCCAACACTAGATACTGTGGGAGTTCAACAGGCATTATTAAGTGCTCTTTGGCAACAGTTAAGCAAAATAATTGTAAAGAAAGATTTCTAAAAGGTGAGAACAGTCTGTTTTCTAAAATGGAGCCAGCACAAGAAATTACTTTAGAATCTAAACGGATTTGGAATGAAATAACCTTGATTCTCTTTTTATTTCTGAGTAAGCCCAAAGACAAAATGCTGGTCTGGTGAGAAAACATGTAACCTACTGATATTCCTTTTTAACATACAGTGAGTGACCCAAGGCTCAGGGACTTCAGCAGGCAAAAATCTCCCACTAGAATCTACTAACATTTTTTGTTTTCTTGGTATTTCTAATAATGGCAAGTGATACTGCTTTCAAACTCATAGTAGTGATATAGTATTTCCTTTTCCCTCTCTAGCAACTTTTTATTTGTTTAAACGTTTCCTTGAGTAACTAAACCTAACACACATCTAACAGAACATTCTCCCCAACAGCAGCAGAATATGCATTTTTCTCAAGTGCACATGAAGTAGTCTCCATGATAGACCGTATGTTAGGTCATAAGACAGATCTCAATAAATTTAAAAGGATTAAAATCCTACAAAGTATGTCCTTCCACCATAATGAAATACAATTAGGTATTAATAACAGAAGGGAATTTAAGATATTCACAAGTATATAGAATTACACCTCAAAATAATAATTGTATCAAAAGAGAAATTACAACAGAAATTGTAAGATATTTAGAGATGAATGAACATGCAACATACCAACATTTAAGCATGCAGCTAAAGCAATGCTTAGAGGGAAATTTATAGTTGTAAATGCATATGTTTAAAAAATAAGGAGGAGGGGCTTCCCTGGTGGCACAGTGGTTGAGAGTCTGCCTGCCGATGCAGGGGACACGGGTTCGTGCTCCGGTCCGGGAGGATCCCGCATGCCGCGGAGCGGCTGGGCCTGTGAGCCATGGCCGCTGAGCCTGCGCGTCCAGAGCCTGTGCTCCGCAACGGGAGAGGCCACAGCAGTGAGAGGCCCGCGTACTGCAAAAAAAAAATAAAAATAAAAAATAAATTAAAAAAAGGAGGAGGAAGATCTCAAATTATTGGCCTAATCTACCTCAAGAAACTAGAAAAATAAAGCAAACTAAATTCAAAGCAAGCAGAAGGAAGAAAATTAAATTTTTTTCAAGCAAAAATAAATGAAATAGAGAATAGAAAAATAATAGAGAAAATCAGCAAAACTAAATTTGGTCTCATAAAAAGATTTTTAAAAATTAGCAAGCCTTTAGTTAGACTGACCAAAAAAGAGAGGGAAAGAAAGAGAGAGAAGACTCAAATTACTAAAGTCAGAACTATTGCCTCATATTTTTGTGTTCTGTGTAAATATCCATTGATGTAAATTGTCTTGCCTCATGGACGCTCAGTATGGTTCCTACACCTTTCTTTATTCAAAGGGAATGAAGCACGTTGTGTCAGTGGGGTTTTTTAAATTCTCGTAAGAAACACTGCATGCTCAAATTGTGTAATTTAAGGAAAGTCTGTAATGAATGATTTATATACAAAAGGAGGGTGGGTGGACAGGGTGTAGGGAGCCCGTGAAGGAAAGTGCAGTATATTGGGGTCAGTAACAACCAGAGCACAGTTACCAACCCAGAGCCTGAAAGGGCAGGGGAAGGACCTTGAGATAGAGAGGGTTGAGTAGAACTGCTGACTTTTGACCCTTGACTGGTGGCAGGACTCAGCAGACCAGTGGCACCTCCATAAAGGGGGAGTTGAGAACAAGGGGGACCTCAAACACTCTCTTTTCCTGGTCTCCTGTTACTGCTTTCCATTAGCCAAACCCAGTCAGAAGCCAGGGGGCAAGGGAGCCAACACATACAGATCAGCCTCCCTGGGCAGAAAGGAGGGCAGAAACAGGAGGAGATAGATCTGAATGGGGCACCTGGAAGCTATTCAGCACACACCTGATCACGCTAGATGCCCCAGTCAGAGAGAACTATTCTGCGTGTGAATAGTTGGAAGTTGACTACTTGAAATTCCATTATCCAAATAGGAGTAAATGAAGAATGAGCAGATTACCCGCCCTGTCTTGTTTTTAGAATAGGCTTCCCTGACTTCATGCCCACAGTAGTTCTTTTCTCCTATGCTAAGGTCCCATACCATGCAAACCAGGAAGGCAGTTGAATGTCTCATTTGTCTTATGGAGTTATTGTGAGGATCTAAGAGAGCGTTCTAATACAGTGTAAGGTGACGTATTATGTGCTTAGTAAGCTGACATGCATCGCCTCATTTGATCTTTACAGTAACTCCATGAGGTAGCTGCTACTAACCCCTGCTATTTCATAGATGAGAAAATTGAGTATCAGAGAGATGAGGTAAGCTGTTCAAAGTCTCGTAACTAAGTGGTGGATTAAGGGTTTAAATCCATTCCAAAGTCTGGGTCTTAATCACTAGGTTACATATGTCACGACTGCCTTCCTGGTTTGCACAGTGTGGGATCCGAGCACAGGAGAACAGGGCTACCGTGGGCAGGAAATCAGAGAAGGCTTCAGTGAAAGTAGCATTTGAGCCAGTGTAATGGGATTATTTTCCTTTTCTTTATTTTGGACTCCTAACATGCTAACTTATCAAGAGAAAAAGCAGAGTTAATGGATAAACAAATTGTGGTATATTTATACAATGGAATACTTCTCAGCAATAAAAAGGAATAAATTATCTCCAAGCACTAGCTTGGGTGAATCTCAGAAGGATTATGTTGGGTGAAAGAAGCCAGATGCAAAAGAGTACATACTCTATTCTGCTGTGATAGGAATCATAGTGGTCGCCTGGGCAAAGGGGAGGGGTATGAGAGCAAAGGAGTACTAGAAACGTGGGTGTGCGGTGGAAATGTTCTACATCTTGACTGGAGTTGTAGTTAACAAGAGAATATATTTGTCAAAATTCATGAAACTGTACTTTAAAAAGAGTATATTTTATAGTTTGCAAATTATACCTCAATAAATTGATTTTAAAATAACTGATGAAATTACGAAAATGTATTAAGTAAAAATTATGCAGTTGATTTAGAGTCAAAATTACTGTTCAGAAATATAATAGGTGATATACATTTATTGTAAATGAATTAAGCCAGACATAAAAGCCAAAATTCATGTGATTTTTCCCTTGGTAAAATTACCACCTGTGAGGTATTTTTTCAAACCTGAATTACCTTAAATTTCTTTTTTTTTTCTTTTTAATCTAGAATGGTCAATTGGAGTGCGTACGCTGGATGGTGAGTGAAACAGAAGCCATTGCTGAATTGAGTTGTTCTAAGGATTATCCAAGCCTTATTCATTACGCAGGTTGCTTTGGCCAGGTATGAAGAAATTTTTAATTATCTTCTATTTGCATGCTATGTAATCTATCTCTCTTTAAATTTTTAGTCCATCAAAATCCAAACATAAAAAATCATCAAAAATGTATTCAAAGATTTATAAGCAGTGATATTCATTGCAGCATTTTTTATATGAAAGAAATGTTTTAAACAACCTAAATATTCCAGATAGGATATTGGATAAATAATGAAGCAACATCCATATGATGGAATTTTACAGAAAAATATTCATTATATAATATTGAATTAAAATGTATGATACAAAACTGTTCCTGTAATTTGGTACCAACTTTGAATTTTGGAGAGAGAGAAAGAGAAATAGATAATAAAACTAGAAAAAACTATGTCACAACTTGTTTTTATAGTAATTATCACTCAGGGTAGAATTATAAGTGACTTTTATTTTCTTTCTTATATTTTTCACTTTTTTCCAAATTTCCTACAATAAACAAATTTAACTCTTGTCAAAAGGAAAAATGATAGATTTTCTTGAAACCAAAATTAAGAAGAAAATCTTTGGTATGGCATTAATCGAGGAAGTCTCCGTCCATTAAAGATAAGCAATCACACTAACTAAAAGAGTCTCAGTTACAACCAGTTTCTGCGTTAGGAAATCCCAGTGTGAGTAACTGATGTGCACAGATCACAGTCCAGTGTATGCAGTAAAAAATCATCACTAACTCCCTTTGAGAAGGGTGAGTATAAATTATCTTTTTAAAAAAAATTGGAACCACAAAATGCCAATCTCCGTCTTAAAAAAATATGAATAAAGTCAGCACTGTATTAAAATAGATTTAATCACATTTGTTTGTGGCAAAGAAAATTGCTTCTCATGCATATAACCTTATCCCTTTGGCTTTATACACTTTCCCAGTGGCAGTAAATTGTGGTATTGTCAACAAGAGATTATGCTTTTTCAAGCATGACAATCTCAAATTTTAAAAATAGACTCCTAGAATATTACCACAGCCTTTCTTCAGGGGGAGTCATGTTAAGTGATAGTTTATTTTGTGCCATGGTAACTTCAATTAATATATATGTAATGTTTCCTATATGTACCAAGCACCATGCCGTTGGCTTTTGTGTACATTATCTGCCTTATGCCTTAAAACAACCTTATTGGATTCTGTTGTTTTTATCCCCATTCTATAGATGAGGAGACTGAAAAAAGAAATCTTAAGTGGCTTGCATGTGGTCTAATGGCTAGTAAGAGCAAAGGCTGGATCTCAACTCAGGTCCTTTGGCTTTGGGACCAGATTCTGCTTTTCCTCCATTTGTGTAGATAATTTGTATAGCTTGTTTACAGTGGCACGGATACAGCTGCAGAAGTCCTTTTTTACAATTTTATCTCACAATACGTTGTGATATTTGGAGTATCTTAACACAGCTCGTATGAAATTCATGGAATGAAGAAAGGAGCAGGAAGAACATTTAAAATTTGTAAAAGCCAATGTCTTTGAAATAATTACTCCGTTTTCTTTGTGTATTGTATTTATGAGCCCCAGTCATGGTGCTCTACAAACAAATGTAAGAATTAATAAGATTTGTTAAGATGCCCTTTTTTTGCTTAGACTGGCAAAGGGGAGAATAGTGTTTTCAAATGACCAAAAGAATCATTAAGACAATAGTCTTCATAAATCATTCTCAGTATAAAACAAAATTTTATTTATTCTCAAATTGTCTGAGTAATTGTTTCATACCCCTGATTTCATTTGCTTATGTAAAGCCTAAAGAGAAATTTCAGATATCAGTGAAAAGGCTGACTGCACTTTTGGAAGAGCTTGCCAAAGAAAAGGAGGAAAGGATTGCACTGCTGTTCTGAGACTTTAAGTCAATAATTGGGCATCCGGCCTTCTTTGTCCTGAGCAATGTTGCTTATATGTGCCAGTTTCTCTCTTCAGCTCTCACAGCAGGCTTCTCATAATTTTGAAGCTATTGGGACAGAACAAAAGAAAGTGCCATTTCTGGGACTGGTTGGGTGATAGTGTAGTTTGCTTGGCTGGACTAGAGGAAAATATGGAAATTAGTGACCTATGTGAAGAGCCATGTCAAACATTTGCTTCATGTTAGTATCAGTCTTCAGATTGTTATTTCAAGCTGATAAGCATTTTTAATGACCTCAAGTACAGCAAGGCATTCCAGCAGTGCCTTCAGGAGAGCATTCCTAACTACGTAGAAAATGTAGAAGCCCATTAGGACTGCAAATTCTGCCCAGCCATCCTACATCCGCCGCGACCACTTATGTAACAGATAACCTGTGGAGATGCTGAACTTGGAACCATTACAAGGCTAATATTTTCACAAGGAAGACTGTTATTGAACAGTTTTCTAATGGATTCAGCACATGCAGGTTTTTCTACATCAAGCAGGCACTTGAGTGTGTTCTGGTTTTGTTTCTTCAGTAAATACCTTTGGAAAGGATAGTACAGAGGAAAATTCCTCTCTTGGTTTATTTTAGTTGCCCTCTGCCCCTCCTATAGATTCTTAAAGAATGAGCTCCATTTGACTCGCAATTTGTGTCCTTTTACTGGTTAAAATTACCTTTAAGGGCTCCAGAACCGCAGGGTAGCCAGCAGTTTTTAGTGGTCTTCTGGAGTGATAGATCTTTGGGTGATAGGAATTGATTTTCCTCCTCTTGACACACCAGGTCTCGGAGGGAGCAGCTATTTCATTCCCTGATTGTACCTAGCAGAACCGGCCACAGGGAGCATGAAGGTGAAAGCATGAGGGACGCTCAGGGAATGAGCAGGGGCGTCCTCGGATGGGCCTGCTTTGCTGTCCCTTGAGAGAGATGCTTGCTGGGGAAACAATTGAGACAGAATTGTCTCAAGTCAAAGTCACCGCCTGTGTAACTTGGGCAGTTTTATTCGAACATGAAGGTTCAGATGGTCTCGTCCAGGATCCCAGCAAAGTTCTTGCCCTCAGGTGCTTGGGGGCTCCGGCCTGTTTTGCATTGGTCACTGGTTCAGTGGGCTCTCTGATACTTTCAACATCAAACTTATCATTTTGTTTCTGAATCTTTCATGTGACTTTTGGTCAAGGAGTTTTGCTACGGAAACAACAGGAATCATAGCATTAAGCATTTACCAAGAAAGAGCACATTTGCCTACGCTATGTTCATTCTCCATTTTAAATGTTTGCCCTGATACAGATCAAAAAAAAAACAAAAAGCACTTTTTCAAAAAAGAAAAAGCTCAGCAGTTCCTACGAATGGTCATGAATAGGCATGCTGGTGAGGGGGTTCCTTCCACAGGCTGTGTTATCGTTTTTCCACGGTTTACTTTAAAAAGGGGAAATATTCTGTTGACTTTATTGTTTCATTGTCATGGGGTAGAAAAAAGTAAGCAACACTGAAAGGGTTATGATTGCAGATGAAAGCAAACTGAAAAATCTTTGAATGGCACAAGCATTCATCTGCTCTCCAAGGACCTTTGAAAAAGCTTAACCAACACAGAGCTCCACAACCCACAGACGGACAGTTAATGTGATTTCTGTGACCCAAAGGTTGGAAAGGGAGTGTGTCCTTTATGGAGTCAGGGGTCATGGGGCAACGAGCCATGGTGGATATTCATACTCAGAAGACAGAGAACATTAGCTCCTGAGTCTGAGTTTAAATCCTAGCCCTACCCTTACTAGCTCAGTAACCTTGCATACGTTTACATTTTTTAAAAAAAGAAAAGATCTCCCTGGACCTCAGTTTCCTCATCTTTAAAATGGAGATAATAGAACCTTCTTTACAGGGTTACTCTGAGGTCCAAATGAGAAAAGCCACATGAAGCACTGCCCACTGCCAGCACATATTAGACACTAGGTAAATGTTGGCTATTATGGTTATTGGATACCTTCCACTTTATTATTTTTATTTCTATAAATATTATTTAATATATTTATTTCACTATGAGTGAAGTATCAGAGAAATTGGGCAAAGAATTATTTGGGCCTTAACCTATTTAATCAATTCTTAGATGTATTTTTTTTTCACATTTTACTATCTCTAGATTCAACATTTATCTTACAGTAAATGACAATATGAGATTATTGCTGGCCATCCTTTTACATTTGAATGTGTCAAAAACTGGAGTGAATCTTATAATTGATGGCACGTTAGATTTGATAACCTATGATCACAGGCAAAGCTGCTTCCTTTAGAACTTATGGTTGTAACAAAACTGTAGACATTTTATTGATACCAGTAATAAACCGGTGGCATAGTTTTCAATTACATTTTTAATTAGACTGTCCAGCAAATCTCATAAATTACATGCATTAATTGCTGCTTTAAATAAATTGCATTGCCTTTAAGAACGTGCAAAATACAACATTAAAACAGGTCGCCAAAAGAGCAGAAAATCTCGAGAAGAGGAAACGAGTACATGAAGTAGGTTTCAAGTCGTTAGATGTAAGTTGAATGGGTAGGTGGGTGTGTGGGTGATTGGGTGGAATGTCAGTTGCAGAGGCATTCTGTAAAACAGAAATAATACAGAAGAGCCAGCCCATCCGTAGGACTGCATTGGATGTTCTCTGAAAGCAATGCCTATGGGAAAATGAACATCTGAAGTTACATTCTTCCTTTAACATCTTCCTGATACACACACACACATACACACACATACACACCACGCACACACTGGTGGGGGGCAGAGGAAAGAACCCGTGGAATGTCTAAAAGATAAAAGAAGAGGTGGTCATCATTGCATATATATCTATAACATGTATGCATTTACAAGGGCCTTCTTAGTTGGAGAAAATAGCTGTATTTGTTCTGTTCTCCTTACTAGGTATTTGTCAAATAAGTCACTGTTTAAATTGTAGGACTGTGGATCTCTGCTGGAATGTTCTCCAGAATCAGAGCAGAAAGCATTTCTCAGAGACTGGATGCTAAACATGCTTTTACCCAAACCAAGGGATTCTAGCCATCTCCATGTCCCTCTCAGAAATCCTAAGTGGACAGCCAGCCCATCCCTTTGAGCAGTGCTTCTGTGCACTGTATCGTAGGGGAGATTGTCATTTCCATCGATTTCTCAGTGAACAGGCCAGTTGCATAGCTTCTTATTAAAGTAAATTGTCCACTGCAGAACACAAAACTGAATTGGAGGGGCTGGGCAAAGACGTGCCTTGTTCTGAACAATAGGATAAACATTCTTCCTTTATGTAAGTTTTGCATGTTGAATTGGGTAAGAGCCTTAATTATAGGAAAGAATTATCCATGACATCGTAAGAAAAGCAGGCAGGTTGTCATAACAGTATGGACTGCACCTGACTGGGAGAGTCAGGGGCCAAGGCAACTCCTGCCTCACATAGACCTTGCCCTGTTCTCCCAGGTCATCAAGCCCCTGCAAAGTCCAGGTCTCTAGATTCTTCCCAGATTTCTACAAAGGGAAAATTCCTAGTCTTAGGAATAGTATTCTATTTCCTATAACTCCATTACTATAAGTTATTCAGTTATATTCAGTTATTCGAAACACTGAATTATAATAAAGGGCATTTTCTGTGCATGTGGAATAGACATATCCACTATAATATTTAATCGAGTCTGAAAAACATGAAAGTATGCCTGACAAGAAGGTACATATAAAACATTTCTGAGTATCTTGAACTCCTCTGAACTTTACTTGCTAAAGAGAGAAGCTGCTAGAGTATCAGAGAATATCCAGTTGTCTTCTTCAGTTTTCTGATTTGTAAAATAATTGAATTGGATAATTCCCTAAAATCTCTGCCACTTCGCATTTTTAACATTTAATATCATGGGGGTCACCACAAGCTTGACAATGACATTGAAGATGGCAGCACTGTCCTTTTCACCAGTAGGGGCCCAGCAACCTGCCCGCTTGATGTTTCTGTGTCTTAGGCATTGACTTCTAACCAGTTGGTCATGTCATTGACCTTGAGGTACACCCACTCATCCAGATCTTTTCAGGAGTTAAGATCACATGGTTCGATCATCTGTCTCCAGATAAAAATATTTCGGTTTTTTCCCTACCTAATTAGGAAAAATAAAGGAAGTTGTTGTACCTTATGCTTTCGAAACATCACCTGCTCTGGTCCAAATGTCACTCCCAGCTTCCTCCAAGTTTGCCTCTGAAGAAGAGTGCCTATCTTATCGCACTCCTACCTCCCAACCCTAGCCTCCAGGCTTTGCTCCACCTCATTCTCTAGGGACGTGGAGGGTTTTACTTCCTACAAGGTCTGTCTGCTTTTGCAGCTAACACTCACCATGCTTTCCCAGGGTGCATTCTTGGTCGGTTGTAGGTATTGATTACATTTTCTCTCCTTGCTCTTTAGAGGGGTTACTCCCTGCTTGCTCGTGTAAAAAAGGTGTGGTACAAATATTCAGTCTCTCCCTGATGTCATTGATGCCTTTATAAACAGTGCCCTGTTCCCCACATGAGGGGAGAAACATGAAAGGAGCTGGCTGTTTTTATCCAGCATTCCTTTAGCAGATTAGTTGGCATGTTCAGAAGGTGAAGGCAAATTTAATCCAGAAAAATATAAAAGTTCATGACCAGTCCAAGCAAATAACTGGAAAAGAAAATCCTTTAAAAGGCTAAGGAGAGGTTCAAGGCTATTTCAAACGCATGATCGTCTTTTTAAATGTCAAATTCCACCCACTAAACTTCATGCTGTTGTTTTTACCACTCTCATATTTTTTTAACATTATATTTAATTTTTCTATTTTAAAACAGTGAATTCCCATCCCCGTGCTTTCTCCTGAGGCCAAACGTAACATGTAAATACCACAAAAGACTCAGCGGGTAAAATGCAAACAGATTATGACAACACACACTGACTGTTCTATGTCTTTGCTTTTGAAAGGTTGTGTTCGAAGCTTTGAGTCCCCTTCCTTTAACATAGAAGAAGAGAAAGATTTATCTGTTAAAACAAACAAACAAAAAAAAACACCAACATTTGGTCAGAAAAATCAAGAGGGTCCCAGTTTTATTTCAGTGTGGTTATCTTATACTTAGCAACTTAAGATGTTGCCTCTTTCTTGTAAGCCTATTGATTGTACGGTATGGGATTAGGAAGGCATGGTTGAAGCATGATAAACTTAAAGTAGAAGCTAGGTATCTCAATAGTCCAAGGTTTTACAATAATATTCTTGAAGCCTCCAGATAATATAACAAAGTAACAAAAACATTGCCTTGGACTCAAAAGACTGGACTGGTTCCAACATTGACTGTCTCACTGTGTGACTGAGGAGGTACTCAAACTTTCTGTGAATCAGTTTTCCCACCTGTAGAATAAGTAAGCAAAACAAGAGCGTTTCTGAGATAACTTTCTGCTCTTCAAATTCTCAGAGCATTCTTCTTTCATTAACTTTAGTCAGAGATGCAAGAATTTTCAGTTCATACTGAATGGAAATGTCCTCCTCGTAAGGTAAGCTTGGCTATATCTAAGCTTCACATGTTGGAGTTTTGTTTTCCTCTGTCCTTATATTAGACTTCACTACGTGACAGTCTATTAATTCCAGCCTGTCCTTGTGTTTAATAGGAAAAGATTCTGCTGTGGCTTCTTCAGTTCATGCAAGAGCAGGGCATCTCACTGGATGAAGTAGACCAGGAAGGCAACAGTGCCGTTCATGTGGCTTCCCAGCATGGCTACCTCGGGTGCATACAGGTACACAGGCCCTGCTGCTCTGGAGAGAGAAATGAGTGCATCAAGTAACAAAACAAAACATGGGAATTTTGTTCACTGGGAGAATGTCTGGATTAAATCAGCTTTTCCTCTTATAGTGGATCATGAGGAGTCAAATTGTTACATTTGTATTTCCAGAAATGCACACAAACACTGGCATCAGTAGCTGTCTGGGTTTCTCCTGGAGTGTCACAGGATGTTCAAGGGGACACTTCTTGCCCTTGCAGCATTACCTTAAAACCCCAATGCTGAGGACAATGAAGTACCCCCATGTTCTCAAGACAGCAGGAAACCACTACCAGACTGACATCGCTGAGTCCGTCACATGGAGGGTGCGCCCTTCCTGCTGTCATTAGCACACTTCGCCTTCCCAAATGTCTGAAACACAGGACCGAATTTTTAAGAAAGAATGAGAAGAATTCCTCAGAGTAGCAAGCAGGAGGCTTAGGAGAGAGAGTGGTGTGGTTTTCTTCTCCCGTTCTTTGTAGTAGGACTGAGCTTCCCCAAAGCATTCAAAAAGTCCCAGAACTGATTCCAGGAGGCCCTCGATATTGGTCCCCTCTGCCCGAGGGCAGGCTCAGCAGGGCCTCAGTTGGCCAGCCGCTCCACTCAAGAGCCTCCGGTGGCCTCATCCTTTTAGCCCAACATACCTTGCGAATATTACCATGTCCTTTGTGTGCAGTGCTGTAGAGAGGTTGGGGAGCAGAGCCACAGGAGGTGGGGAGGCCCTTCCCCCTGCCCCAGGCCACCTGGAGGTACATCCAGGAGGGCTGCTTAGAGAGCACAGGGTTCCTACAGGAAGAGGGGTTGACCTCTCGTCCCACAGCTGAATGCAGAGCTGCACAAAGCTGAGCCACACCCAGTGTCGCCATCCTAACAGCACATAGTGGGAGGCCCTGCGAGAGTCCTCAGAAGCTTGGGGCACACGTGAATGTGAAAACTGGGTATTTATTATATACAATAGTTTACATCTGCTAATCCCAAACTCCCAGTCCTTCCTTCTCCCACCCCCCTGTATAGCACAGGGAAATATTCAATATCCTATGATAAACCATAATCGAAAAGAATATTAAATAAAAAATGTCTCTGTGTATAACTGAGTCACTTTGCTGTACAGCAGAGATTAGTACAGCATTGTAAATCAGCTATACTTCAATTTTAAAAAAATTTTTAAAAAACTGGATAGGCTTTTTTACCTAGAAAATGTAAGGCCCTGACTGACAAAACGAAGAGAGAAGAGAGCTGAAGAGAAGGAGGGAGAGTGACAGTGTGAGGAGAGGAAAAGCTTTGAATTGGAAACAGAGTTTAGAATTGACCTGGAATTTAATTTATGAACATAAATCATAATTACCAGAGTCCAACCAGTCACACCATTCTCATCATTGAAAATGACCCAGCATCTATGGATTTGTTCCCACATCTGCCTGAGATGTAGGAAAGGGCGATTGACAACGTATGGCTGAAGGCCATGATTAAAGAAAATACTTTTACCTCACCAGATTTATACAGTTCAAAGTATGTGTATGTAAGAACTCTAAGAAAACAACACTCTTTTTCAGCCTTATTAGGTATTGTTTCTTTTATTCCAAACTCAGCGGGTACTTACTGAGGTCCTACTGTGAGCAAGGTAGACTGTATCTCAGAGAGAAAACTGGGAAGTGAGAACTTGCTCGGGAAGGTAGAGAGGACTCAGGGAATTCAGACGATGTGGAAAAGCAGTAAACGTAAGAGGCAAGAGATTCATAAAACCGGAAAGCAGAGGTCACAGCAAAAAGCCCTCTGCAGAGTCTCCTCACATGCAACCACTCTGTGGAAAGCCACGCTGATAGGAAATATTTCAAGTGTCTGGGAAGTTTCCCCACTGTTGTTGGCAAAGCGTGCATCTTCTAATTTAAGACACCAAGTTGTAAAAGGAGTGATGAGAAAAGAGAGAAATTTAAATTTTTACCAGGATCTGCAGAAAGATGAAAGGAGTAGCATTACTTTTTATGGAGGAAAAATAATTAAATGAAGACTGAAAACTTCATTTTTCCATGTGACAAAACACTATATATTTAATAGTATTGAAGTAGACTGTTTTTATCAGCCAGTAAATGACTGCAACCCAATGAAAACAGCTGATATCACTAATTCTGTTTGAGATCTTACTTATTTTCCTTCTTAATATGTGAGGAGAGGCAGTCTGTCTTTTCAGAGTGTTCGTCTCTCCACTTAACACAAATGATATTTTTGGCACTAGACACCATGGATGTGGAAACTTGAATAATCTTGGAAGCGGGTCTATCCACTGGGTGTGAGAATAAAAAAAAAATAGGTACAAAGAGATTGAAAGTAGAAAAGGGGGTGAGCGAGGACCTTTATGAAGTGAAGAGGGGAACTAAGTATGGAAAACATTGGAAAGATAACTGCAGAGGCCAGAGTCAAGGGAAGTGATAATAGTGTGTTTATGCTGAGTCTCTGAGAGCTCAGGGTGAGGTGATCTCTGGGACACCCTGTGACGTGGGTGGCATTGGCCTTATGGCACCTTTTGTGGTGAGTGATCCTAAACCAAGAGGAAAATGAAGCTCCTTAATGACTTCTGAGTCTAAGTAGTCTAGGAATTTAAAAATCACAAGTATTTCTTGTGGAAATAACATTTTCTATTACTAAAATAAATCCAGAGGTCTACAGACTGATCTTGATAGCGTCAAAAAATACGGCAGACTCTGACAGTTGATTAATATTGACGTAACAGCTTTTTGTGGGGTCTGTTGTCATCACAGCATAAAAACAAGAGAGTTTTGATTTTTTTTAAATTAACAATGTCAGGGAATTCCCCGGCGGTCCAATGGTTAGGACTCCGGGCTTTCATTGCCAAGGGCAAGGATTCAGCCCCCCGTCAGGGAACTAAGATCCCACAAGCCGAGGTGCAGACAAAAAAAAAAAAATTAACGATGTCAACCATGCTCCATCAAATCTCTCTCCCCTCTACTAATGGTACCCTGGCCAGATTCCTTAACTTTTTGCTTTCGTTTGACTATTAACAAATTTATTTCAAACCAGTTTAAAAATCTCAGTCTTATTTCTGGTTCAAAGCATTGTCCTCCCCAACCCAGATCAGACTCATGGTGAAAGGGACTTGGTACGGGACGGAGGCATGACTGGTTTTTTACACACCACCTTAGCTCCTATTCCCCTCTCTCTTCTGGGCTCCGGTGTTGGAGACAAAGGGGAGGTATGGAGAGAAAAAGTCAGCTGTCTCTTTGCTTTACTGCCAGAGGTCATGGCATCTCCCTGAAAGTTGTCTTGCTTCTTTAGCTCACTATGGTTGGCCACTGATGCCCTCTGGGGAAGCCTTCAGAGGCTGAATCTCTGGTGGGCACGGTGGGTGGGGACTTCAGAGGGTCCTCTAGAGCCTTCCCACTGATACCTGAGACAGGAGATCTGGCCCCGACCTCACGCCCTCCTCCGCCATACAGTCCCCTCCACCTGTGTTGCACCCCACCACCTCCTGTTGCTAAAGAGCCCTTTCCTTTTTTTTCTTTTTAATTTTTTAATTTATTTTATTTATTTATTCTTTTGGTTGCATTGGGTCTTCGTTCCCGTGCACGGGCTTTCTCTAGTTGCATCGAGCGGGGGCTACTCTTTATTGTGGTGCGCAGGCTTCTCATTGTGGTGGCTTCTTTTGTTGCAGAGCATGGGCTCCAGGTGTGCGGGCTTCAGTAGTTGGGGCACGTGGACTCAGTAGTTGTGGCTTGCGAGTTCTAGAGCACAGACTCCGTAGTTGTGGTGCACGGCCTTAGTTGCTCTGCAGCATGTGGGATCTTCCCGGACCAGGCAATCGAACCCATGCCCCCTGCATTGGCAGGCGGATTCTTAACCACTGCGCCACCAGGGAAGTCACCCAAGAACCCTCTCCTTTTTAATTGGGTGATAACAGGCTCACAGCAAGCTCCCTTCTACAACGTCTGCTCAATATATGGGACATACCCTTGCCATGGCACGTGGTGGGAATGTGGGCCCTGCCATGGCAATTCTGTCCTGTTCTTTTTATTCCTGATTGGGTAGGTTCAGCAACAGATCATGTGCGCTGCCCAAGTAAATAGGAAAAAGTAAACAAAATTCCTTCTTTTTCTTATGGGCATCCCCAACTTCAAGGGCCCACCCACTGAAAGGGACAAAGCCTCTCACCACAGACACTGCCCTGCACACCTCATAATGGAAAGGACTCTAAGGAAGAAGGAGCCTCCACCCCTTCCCAGTCTCCTTCCGAGGCTGTTGTGAGATTGATAGTAGTGGGATTGGTTGGCTGCATCGTTGTAGGCTCCAAAAAGAGGCATCTGATACTGACCACTGAAAGCTCACCAGAGGCTGTCCTTCGTGTGTGATGGTACTCCTCAACCCAACCGTGTCCCGCTATGGGCTCTGGTGACTGGTTTTGGAACAACAGGAAAAGTTCCATTCAACCTTCTGTTACAGTCATTAAAAAATACGGATGTTTACGGATGGACCTAGAGAATATCATACTAAGTAAGTCGGACAGAGAAAGACAAATACTATATGGTATCACTCGTATGTGGAATGTGAAAAATAATACAAATGAATCTATATACAAAACAGAAACAGACTCACAGACATAGCAAACAAATTTATGGTTACCAAAGGGGAGAGGGAGGCAGGGGGAGGAATAAATTAGGAGCATGGGGTTAACAGATACTAACTACTACGCATCAAATAGATAAACAACAAAGACCTGCTGTATAGCATGGGGAACTATATTCAGTATCTTATAATAACCCATGATGAAAAAGAGCTGAAAAAAAATGTATATAAATATAACCGAATCACTTTGCTGCACACCTGAAACTAGCAATATTGTAAATCAGCTGTACTTCAATTCAAAAAAATAATAAATAAATAATGTTTAGAGGGAGGTTCTGATACGATCACATGTCTCCGCATTCTCTGACAGACCCTGGTTGAATATGGAGCAAATGTCACCATGCAGAACCACGCGGGGGAAAAGCCCTCCCAGAGCGCTGAGCGCCACGGACACACCCTGTGCTCCCGGTACCTGGTGGTGGTGGAGACCTGCATGTCGCTGGCCTCCCAGGTGGTGAAGCTAACCAAGCAGCTGAAGGAGTGAGTGACCTGTTCGTTCCATGAGAACCAAGTCTGGCTGCTCATCGTTGTGCTTAGGTTTTAGCCAGGTCTTTGGAAGGCTCCCTCCTGCTGGTCTTACAGGAATTCCCTAGTATCCTCCTCATCTTCTTTTCTTCCTCCATCCCAAGTCCTCATGGCCAGCATTCATGCCATTTCTGCAGAGGCAAAATGATATTTAAACAAAAAAAATGCAGAGCTAGCTTCCTAAGCAGAGAACTTAAGCCACGGTGGACAAGGGGAAGGAGCCTCTCTCTGTGCTCACATCTCAGGGTCAGATGACGTGGCAGGCGCGGAAAGCACACGTGGGCATCATCCCAAGCTTCTGTCCTTAACAGTCTAGCAAATCATCAAAAGCAAGAGAGAGAGAGAAGGGCTAGAGATGGGCCAGTTTCTCAGTTTTCTCAAAAAGAAAAAATGTATATTTGGGAAATTGCAGACAGGTCACCTGGTAAATATCACTGGCAAATTTATTATAAAAATTAAGCCGATGATTCATGAATCCTCAGAATTTAAAATCCTCAGAATGTAAACTTAGCGTGATGTTACTTAAAACACTCTTTGTCTAGCTAAAATCAGTTCTTTTCTGATGAGATGATTCAGCTGGTACACACTGCATACCTAGATGCCAGGGAAGCATTTCTGGAAGGCTGCCATGATATGCTTGAAGAAAGGAGGACCAGAGGAGAGGCCATCCGAGGGGTATCCAGCAGGTTGGAGGATTAAAGAGCTGATGCTCGTCTGAGGGGACCAAGGTCAGCCCTTGGAAAACACATCAGCCAAGTGACAGCTGCCATACTAGGAAGGGAATCACTGAACATCAAAAACACTACTCAAAGTAATGGTGACAGATTAGGAGGACAAATCTTAAAAATGAAATTTTAAGGAAAAAAATGAAGTTTTGCTTTAAAATTATAAAAAGTATTTTTTTTTTCTTCTTTCCTTGTGAAAAAAGACCTGTGGTTGGTAGGAGGCCTTAACTGAGTAGAAGTGTAATTCATGCAACAATATGACAAGTCCTGAGATCCTCTGGTTCCTCGCTAAGCTCGGGGAATTGTTTTCTCTCTCTGCTTCTATTCCCTTGCCTTAGAGGTAAGAGCCTCTGTGCTCCTCTGCTTCTCCCCCTGCCAGTACCTAGAATACTCTCTTTAATGAATTTAGGCTTTTACTAGGAAAAAAAATAAAATTTAAACTTAAAAATTAGAACGGTTCCTTTCCCTCCAAGAATCCTCTGCCCAGTTACACAAGACTCCCCCGGGGCAGATGAGCTAAGCGAGCCTGAACGTCTGGGGAAAATGCACACAGATTCATAACTCAGTAAGTTATCTTGCTACAGCGAACATACTTGTACACGTCTTTATGTACATGTACTGGTGTTTCTGAAAAGTTCCTAGAAGGGGAATCGCCAGAACAAAGTGCATATGTATTTAAAATGTGGATAGATGTCGCCACTGTCCTCCAGAACTGTTGTACCAGTGGACACTCCCCCCAGTAGTATATGGACATATCCATCAAGAGGAACTTTAAAATGGTCCAATGGAATGTTTTTTCTTAAGGTTTGTACTCAGAGAAAAGATCACAAAACCTTCCACTGTCTCTTACCACAGAGTCGGAGAAGCTTTCATGAGTTATAGTATCTGTTTTATTGGTAGAACTCTTCAAGGTCAGGGTCTTGGCTGCTCTCTCTGTTGATGATCCTGGGGTAAAACACATGTATGCTAATAGACAGCAGTTCTTCCACCGTCTCCAAACTGAATGCTGTAGACAGTTGTAGTTAGGCCAATGACAGATGAAATATGAGAAGTTACGTTGTAGACCCTAGTCGTGTACTTACTCTGCATCTCAGTGAGGTTGGCAAAACTAGAAGTGAACAGAGAAATTCACTTAGTCTATCCTCAGTACACTGTACCCTTCAGGTTCTAGGGCATCAATAACATCAAAAGGTGCAGGACAAAGGACGGAAAACACTAGTTTTTCAGCCCAAAATTGTTGAGTGGGAGACAGTCTTGAGTGCCTTTTCCTACTAGAATATTTTTACCAGCCGTTTGCAGTTAATAAACATAGCTATTATTTAGAAATGGCAACCTTCAGCTCTCTTAGAGATCCTGATCTACAGGCGTAGGTATTATGGGTTGAATTGTGGCCGCATAAAATGATGTGTTGGGGTCCTAACCCCTAGTACCTTGGAATGTGAGCTTATTTGGAGATAGGGTCTTTATAAAAGTAATCAAGTTAAAATGAAGTCTCACACACACACACACACACACAGTGTATTTTACTTAAGTAAAAACAGAAAGTTACAAAATACAGTGTGCAGTATAATCTCATTTCTAAGAAATCCCTCTCTCTCCGACCCCCGCTCTCCCTGCTGCCCCAGGCTGGTATGATACACTCCAAAATGTTACTCACTCTTTCTAAATGGTTTGAATTTTTAAAGTAATTGTATTAATTTAGCCATCAGAAAAAAACTAAGTTAAACAAAGCTAGCAAACTCTTTCCATGTTGGGTAAAAACAATGAAATAACTTGGTATTTTTTCAATAAAGAGAAAACAATGTATGGTAACACTCGATTTACTCTGGACATAGAAGCGTATTATCAGAATGTGCATTAAAGTTAAGAAAACAGGTCAAAAGCCATAGGTTACAGAAAGTGAAATCTGTTTAGAAAACACATTAATTATTACAGAACTTGGAAAAAGGAAAACTGATTCTGATTTTAGAGGAGTAAACAGTATTTACCGAACTCTGCAGTATTAGTGTGGTACCCGCCCCCCACCTCCCACCGCAAACTGTCCCCCAAAGATGTCTATCACATCCTAATCCCTGGAAGGTATGAATATGTTACCTTACATGACAAAAAGGGAATTAAGGTTGCAGATGGAGTTAAGGTCACCCTGGATTATTGGGGTTGGTCCAATCTCATCACATGAGTAACAGTAAAGAGAAGGCAGAAAAGGAGATCAGAGAGACTCAAAGTGTGAGAAGGACTCAATCTGCTCTTGCAGACTTTGATGAGGGAGGAAGGGGCTGTGAGCCAAGAAGTGCAGTAACCTCTAGGAGCTGGCAATGACCCTCAACTGACAGTCAGCAAGAAAACAGAGACCTCAGTCCTACAACTGCAAGGAACCGATTCTGCGCCTGATTTGAATAAGCAGGACATAGACTTTCATCCTAGAGCCTCCAGAAAGGAATGCAGACTGTGGATACCTCGATTTTAATCTGGAGAGACCCATTCTGGTCTTCTGACCTACAGAACTGTAAGATACACATGTGTTGTTTTAAATCACTAAGCATGTAATAATTTGTTAACAGAAGTAGAAAACTAATACACTTAGCATCAAAACTGGTAGCAGCTCTCGTGAGCAGGGATGAGGAACTAAACAAATGAGTTACAAGTGTTCTTAAAAGGACTGCCGAGTCTTAGATACTGGCTTGAGGAAGCCCAGTCTTCTCCTTGCCAAATGTCACTGCACGTACTCAACAGCTGTCGGCTGCCTAAATTTAATTCTGTGAGAACAGATTTGGATAATAACCTTCCATCAGCCCCAAATACTCTCCTTTTCTCAGAAGTGGTCAGTCTTAGTCCTAACATTTCATCCCTAAGACCTAAGAAGTCTGTGATCTCATTTTTCTCACTCATTCTGTGACTCACATACTGAAAACTTAATTGTCTAAAGGAGGAGCCGGCAATCTTTTCCCTAAAGAGTCAGATAGTAAATATTTTAGGCTTGTGCACCACATGTTCTGTGTCATAATTACTCAACTCTGCTTTTGTAGTGTGAAATCAGCACTCGATAATATGTAAATGAATGTGTATGCCTCTGTTTCAATAAAACTTTATTTACAAAAACAGGTGATGGGCTGGATTTGGCCCATAGTCTATAGTTTGCTGACCCTAGTCTCAAGAATGAATACAAAATAAAAATACGTAAGAGCACTCTACTTTTCCCACTTTGAAATTTGGAACTGCATGTCAAGTTTTTTAGAAAAACATTTAGTGAGGGGTTAAAACAGATGAAGAAAGATTAAAAGGAGGTTAAACTCCTTTTATAGGGTTCTTAGGTGTCAGAGTGAATTATGACACAGTCAAGAAAACTATTTGGAGGCAGTTAGATGGACTGATGACAGAAATCACAAGTATGAATGGAGAAAGAAAGGACTGTATTCTCTAGATTCTAAAAAAGCCTTCAGAAAGGACTAATCAACTTTTAAGTATAATATATGAGCATGTGAAATATGAATATATAAAAATATGTGAGCATATGTCTAGTATACTAGTCTGCTAGGGCTGCTGTAACAAAGTACCACAAACTGCCTGGCTTAAACAATAGAAATTTATTTTCTCACAGTTCTGGAGGCTAGAAGTCTGAAATCAAGGTGTTGACAGGGTTTGTTCCCTCTGAGGGCTGTGAGGGAGAATCTGTTCTGTGCCTCCCTCCTAGTTTTTGGTGGTGTGCTGCCAATCTTTGGCGTTCTTTGGCTTGTAAATGAATCACCCTAATCTTTGCCTTCATGTTCACGTGATGCTCTCGCTGTGTGTGTCTGTCTCTGTGTCCAAATTTTCCCTTTTCTAAAGGACACTTCATACTGTATACTTTCTACATATATACACATATATTAGGGAAACTTTTTCTATGCCATAGATATTCAAATATATTATCATTCTTAATAGCTGCCTTCACAGAAATAATTATAAATTATTTACTCAGTCTTATTGATGATCATTTAGGTTATAGTTGTTTTACTCATGTGAATAATGAATATCTTTTTGGGTACTTTTGATTGCCTCCTCAGGAAAATTTCTGAATTATAAGGATGAAGATTATGCACATTTGTAAGATTTTTAGATTTATTGCAACTTATCGAAAATCATCATGAAAAAAACGTACACCTGTTAATTTATGATAGTAGCAGTGTGTCAGAGAGCTTATATACTTTGGTTTGTTTTTCCCAGACAGACAATGCAACGTGTCACACTGCAGAACCAGCTCCAACAACTTCTGGAAGCCCAGAAATCAGAGGGCAAATCTCTCCTTTCTTCGCCCAGGTAATACCAGGAACGTTGGTGGTTAGAATTCTTAACTGTCTTTAATGTGTGAGCCTTCTTTTGGACTTTCTTTTAATATCTTTTAAGAAGATAACAGAAAACATTTTATTCTTATAAAGAGGAATAAAAATGAGCTATCACATGGAGAAAGGCACTGGACCTAGTGTCAGAAGACTTGAATTTATCTCTGGCTGTGCCATTTCTTCTTTCCAGGACTATAAACAAGTCACTTACTCTTTCAGAGTCTTTTATTTCTTCATCTATGGAATGGAAATAAAGATATGTAGGTTCATAAGGTTGTTGAAGATGGGATCAATTGAGAAAATGTGTGCAAAATTAATATATAAACAATAAAACAGTAGTTTATTGTAGTTTTGTAAAACTATTTATTGTAGTTTTGTAAAACTACAAAAGAATACATTTTGTAGTCAAAGCAAAAGGTATGAGGCATACTATACTGGTTCTGGTTGCCACCATGGAATGTTTGTAGATTGCTTGAAACACATATTCATTATTCTTATTTCAGTCTTAGTGATTTGTAAGTTATTAGTGGCCTTTAAGCCATGCAGTGATTTGTGGCTGAGTTATTTTTAACCCAGTAGGAAGTCATCTCATATGTCCTTCATCCTCTTTCAGTTCACCATCCTCCCCAGCTTCCAGAAAGTCCCAGTGGAAATCCCCAGATGAAGATCATGAGCCTATAGGCAAAAGCAAACCAGGAATCCAAGAGGGGATTCAAGTTCTTGGAAGCCTGTCCGTGTCCAGCCGGGCTAGGGCCAAAGCTAAAGACGAAGATGCGGATAAAATCCTACGCCAGTTATTAGGAAAAGATATTTCAGAGAATGTCTGCACCCAGGAAAAGCTGTCCTTGGAATTCCAGGATGCTCAGGCTTCTTCTAGAAATTCAAAAAAGACCCCACTGGAGAAGAGGGAACTGAAGTTAGCCAGGCTGAAGCAGCTGATGCAGCGGCCACTGAGTGAGCCTGACCCAGACTCCAACAACGCTGAGGACCCCAAGGGCACGCCTGTGAGAAAGGCTGACAGGCCCAGACCACAGCCTGTCGTGGAAAGCGTGGAGAGTATGGACAGCGCAGAGAGCTTACACCTGATGATAAAGAAACACAGCTTGGCATCAGGACGCAGGTTTCCTTTTAGTATCAAGGCCTCCAAATCTCTGGAGGGCCACAGCCCGTCCCCCACCTCAGAGAGCAGCGAGCCAGACTTGGAATCCCAGGGTCCAGGCTCAGGAACCGCGCCCCCAAGCCAGCCCTCTGGAGAACCCCCTCAGCCCAGCCCTGACAGCACAGCTGCCCAGAAGGTGGCCACGAGTCCCAAGAGCGCCCTCAAGTCCCCATCTTCCAAGCGCCGAACGTCGCAGAACTTGAAACTCAGAGTTACCTTTGAGGAGCCTGTGGTGCAGATGGAGCAAACAAGCCTTGAACTAAACGGAGAGAAGGACCGAGATAAGGGCAGAACCCTCCAGCGGACCTCCGCGAGCAGTGAACCAGGGGATCAACTGAAAAGGCCTTTTGGAACCTTCCGATCCATCATGGAGACGCTAAGTGGCAACCAGAACAATAATAATAACTATCAGGCATCCAACCAGCTGAAGACCTCCACTCTGCCCTTAACCTCACTTGGGAGGAAGACCACAGACGGTAAGGGAAATCCAGGGAGCTCTGCTAGCAAAGGAAAGAATAAGGCGGTGAGTGCTATTTGGAGAATATCCTTTTTATTCCTTTAAATTAATTATATTGTTCCGAACACTACAGATTGTTGCCCTTGGCCACCTTGAGGGCATCCCCAGGAGAATTCCAAAGGATTCATGAGAAGCCAAATTCATGTGTTTCTAATGAGATATGTCATGTTAGAGTACATTTTGGAAATACTCTAAGAGAGAAAGGTTAAACAAATCACGGGAGATTGTATTCTGGTCCCTAAATTTCCCTAAGTAGTTTTGATCCTTGAGAATTAGGAGTCATAGACAGGGAGGCATTTCTACAAGATTAGACTACTAATTGATGTGAGATCAGGCCCTTCTTTGGCACTGACTCTGCCGCAGGAAGCCTTAGTTCTCCTCACGTGACTGGACAGTTTATTCTCGAGCCCAATTAAACAGCACATAAATAGAAACTCTGTTTCTAAACTACTCAACTTTGGAAGGACCTTCAGAATGAATACACCACAGGGACCCCCTCGTTGGCGTTTTACGACACAAGCCCCTAAGGAAGCTCTAGTGGCCTGAAGTGCTTGCCAGCGCGCAGGGGACAGCAGAGTATGCCATGAACTACATTGTGTAATTGCATTCGTTGTAAAACGATGCACTATAATCTGGATTTAAATCCAGTGAATAGGAGATACAATCATCTTTTTAGGCAACATTTCCTACATGCTCTGTGCATGCCATGCCCTTAAAAAACATGGTATAGCAGCCAAAATGTGAAACTCTCTGAGGGATAGAAGGATCCAGAATATCCATCCTGCTAACCAGAGTCACACCTGCATCATTTATTATTTGCCATAAGGTAAAATCCCATTCCAGTGAGGTCTAAGAACTGTGCAAATTCTTTTTTGCAATACCAAAATCAAGTTTTAGTTAATATCACTCGAATTAACTGAACACAAATTTTAATTACACTGATTTCCACCAAGTTGTCTTCATTATTAAAAGACTTTAGCATGTATTTGCTTCAGCTAGAAAAGTCACACTTGTGCCCCAAACACCAGAGCCTTTTGGATTAAATATGTCCAAACTTACATTGCTGGAATAAAACTTTTCCAGGTGACTTAAGGGTTCCTCTCGCTCAAGTCAGAGATCTCAGCAGTTCCCCAGGCTCCTTAAAGTATGTCTGAAGCTTCTACCCTTTAATCTGTCTCCTGTATGCCTCGTGTTTATTGAGACTTGTGCATGTGCTGAGCTTGTCGCATGTGTTCAGATGACTTTTAATCGCACCTCTCTAGGAGATGTACGACAGCTGCATCAATCTTTCCTCTAACACGCTGATTGAAGAGCATCTGTGTGACTATGCACAGTACGTGGTGCTAGGGGTATTGCTCAGCAGTGCCATGCCTTCACTTTGAACTGCATGATCTTTTACATGCCAGTCCTGGAGCACCTTTCCCAGGGGCTGACACCAAGCAAGTAGAAAATTACAACTCTTTCCCCAAATAGAAGAAGGCAGACTTGTAACTGGGCCCTAGAAAGGGAGCAAGTACCCTGTTGGAGGGGCTTCAGTCCAGCAGCAGAGGGCAGAGGAATCTACTCAGGTCACAAACATGCTGTGCTTCCCAACTGACCTTGGCTTTCAGTCTTTGTTTTAATGGAGTAAGGTACCAAAGTAAGTATAGAAATGAAATTTCCTGCCGTGGGTAGAATGAGTCAACCTCCGATCAGAATTAGAACTTTGAAACAGAGCTGAGGTTTTCCTTCATTGCTGGTTATAGACTGAAAGCTCCTTTAGTCAGCAGTCTGCTGCCCTCAGGAGAAGTGAGGTCCTGCCATGCTCTACCTCAGTGTTTGGAACCGCAATGCTGGTCCATAAGCCCGTCTCTGAGCTCCCACCAACAAAACAATGGCCTTTCTCAAACAGAATGTTTGTGATTCAAAATGTATGCATGGCGTATATAAAAGGATCATCTCCAAGGTCCCCAGCGGCTCAGTCTCCTCTGTGAGCAAAGTCCTTCTTCAGCACAGCTTTCCTTCGTCCCCCAGTGACACATACAACTCCCTAACAGAGCAGGAAAGAGGAGAGGGCTAAGAAGAGAGCAGTTGACGGACAGTTAAGTCAGTGAGTGCCTCTTGACAGGTTTATTTCAGAAGAGTTAAACCCCCAACACCCTTTTAAAAGAGACTAATCATTTAAATTAAAAGAAAGCTGTGGCACGCCTTTCAGCACCCTTCCAAAATCCTCCAGAACATTTGTGTGGATGTGTGTGTGTATGTATATAATAATTACAGGTACACAAATACAAGTGAATGTGTTGTGAGTGTAAATGTTAGTTCAGAATTCTAAGGTGTAAGGAATGTCACTCTCCTTTTTTTCCCCTCTAAATCACATTTAATCTTCTCCAGGTCTCCATTCAAGCTAGAGGAAAAGTAAATCTCAGTCATTTTAGGGGGTTCCCCTAGGGGTCTCATTCATTCCATAAGTTGAAGGAAGCACCTTGGAACTTCAGTATTTACTGGTCACCAGCATTCTGCTTGGGTCAGGCTCAACATGCTGCCTAAGTCTGGGCTGTTTCTGGCCACACTAGGGCAGGGCAGTTTGGCCAGTGCTAAAAGCCCAATGCCTGGGGTGGGGAGGAGATAGAAAAAAATACCCTTTGCCTTCCCAGACACTGGTATTGGTCCACTTCTGTTTCTTCCAACCTATCTTCCCCACCCCTCTGCGTCCCCATCTTAGTTTCTGTCTTCTGGTGCCTGGAAAATTCTGCTTTTGTCCTTAAGCAGAAGTCACCAGAAATACCCTGAGGCAAGGAAGCACAAAGGCTTGGCAAACTCCTTGGGAGCGGGAAGGAGAAAACCTCTCATTTCTTCCAGGTTCCTACAGCACCTGGAAACAAGACAATTAGTATCCCAGTAGATTCTCCTGCCAGATATATTTCATCCTGTCTTCTTACAAGTAAGAGAACAAAGCTGACAATCTACTGTAATAGGATTACAAAAATCAGAACACAAAAGGAGGTTATGAGGTTACTCAGACATCCCACAACTGGGTTAACACTTTCCTACTCAGTTTAAGGAACAGTCCTTCTGAAGGCTCAGTTTTGAACCTGTCAGATTCACTGGCTTTATGTATTAACAGAGTTTTCCTTCAGTGATAAACAGAAACCCCAAAATTATAATATTCAATGTAGTTAAATAAACATCCAGACCCCTTCCCCTCCCTACCTTATAAATTAACTTATCCCTTATCGTGGCTGTCGTTTGGCATGTGTTCTGTGGAAAGTGAAAACCCACTAGTTTGTCCATGGCATATGGGGGAAGGTTTCTCTGATTCATCATCACACAGAGGCAGGGAGAACCAGCCCAGTCCGTTCCTTAGATAAAGCAAGGGTAGATGTATCTAGTTGAGATAAAGATTCCTCAGAGAGATGAACTGGCATGGGAGCGTAGACATGAAAAATACCTAAGTGATTCTGGTGCCTGCTTCATTTTGCCTGTGGGACCCATAGAAAGGGCATCCCCCAGAAAGATGCAAGAAAGAAAGGAACCCAAGTGTCCATCTGTCAGTGATGCCTTTAAATCTTGGCCCAAGAATTTGCTTGAAGGCCACATGGTTCCTCTTGGGAGCAGGGACTGCCCGGGATCATATAACTTTGGAAAGCAATGGCAGTCATTGGGTTGGAGTTGGCTCTAAGCATTATGCTGCTGGTGGCCCTCTCAGTATAGCCCTGGGAGAAAGAGTCGGGCAGTGGACCCTTGTTCCAGGCCTATACTGGAATCACATTTTAGTTCCTAAGATTTTTTTTTCCCCTAGTAAAGGAAAAATAGAGACAATAAATACAACACTTTAAAGAATGTCAGCTCTGTGAGGGGGTTCTGTTTGCTATTTATTTTTCAAAATTGGTCACAGCTTGATAGCAAAGAATCTAAATTTCTTTTCATTGCCCTTTAAAATTAGATTCAACTCTATTACTCTGAATAGCTGTTCCAGTGTGTTTCAACTGTGGAGGATGACTTGGTTTATAACAAGCAGATTTATCTTTACTTTTTCTTATAAAGGACAAGTTGGTCTTGAATTATTACAACTCCAAGGGAATGTTTGCAGTTACTTATTTTAAAATGCCAGTAAGACATTCATTTCCCAGAGCTTAAGTCTATCCAAGATCTGTAACACTTGAGGTGAGCATTGATTCTAGTTACTGATGGGCAGAGGGCATTAACCCCTGGCCACCAGTGGTCACATCCCCTTTGACCACAGAGGCACTGTAGCCTGAGGGGTTAGCATCAGGAAACCCCTAATCCTAGCACCAACATGAGAGTAGACTCCTTAAAAAGACATTAAACCATAAACACCATTAGTGTGGGTTTTACTGCCAAGGAATTAGCCACACTGGGAATTATACATCCGGACCCAAGAGCTAGTAGCCCATATTCTACATAGATGTCAAGATTGTTCAACAGCTACTTCAAAGAGAGTGGTAGGTTTGGCCTGAGTTGATGTGAGGGTATGTCAGTGGTCATCTGCTGTGCCCAATAGGAGGTCAGAGTTCAGGGTACCCCTACCACCAGCATGCACACACACACACACACACACACACACACATACACATATTTCTGTCCTTATTGTCAGTACATATTACTAAACACAAAAATGAGCAAAGACATGGAAGACGTTGGGAAGGTAGAGGTGAGGCCCTGGCTGAAACCTGTCCCGAGTCAAGCATACCCTCAGCGCCACTGAACAGCATTTCCAGAATCATGATGGAAAATGCAGTCAGCACAAAAAGGAATCCCTGGTAAACAAAGGCATCTTTGCCATAATTTCTCTGGATATAATCAAATAACCACATTTTAATCTTAAATTTTTGATCTTAAAGTATTTTCATAGGCTTTTTAAGGATCTTGAAGGGATAATTATATAATTACCTAGTCATAGGTATGTTACCAAGCTAGGTAAGAGTAGGTTGATTGCATAGTTCTAGAGTGAATCCCCTGGAGCAGTCTGAATCTTACCAATGTAACAGTTCAGAAAAGTTTGT